TCACGATATTTGCGACAAAACGCTTAGAGCGATCTACCCTCCCTTCGTGCGACGCGGAGTTTCGCCGAGCCGAGCAAGCAATATACGCGACAGACGGCCGTCTCTAATTGGCATTACGACCATGCGACATACACGTGCTGAGATATATATGTATATATATCTATATATACACACGAACACGCCACATTGACTATAATTACCTATTTGCTTCGTATTTATTTTTATCGTTAATTAATTATTGTATTTATTGGCGCGAAGGCTGACACGCATACGCATAATTTCCGAGAAACACGTTAATTACACGAAAATTAATTACACACGTACATACAAAATGTGCCCGGTTGAGTCATTGTCACTCAGATCATCCGAAGATTGCAAAAATTGTTAGAAGTCTTTCAGTGTTGTTATCTAAAGTAGCTCTGACGCTTATTCTCGAGCAAAACGACTCGAGCAGAAAAAGAACGACTGAAGAGATATATTCGCGTGTGAAACATCCCCGAACAAATCTCTTCTACTTTCTTTTTACCTTTCTTTTTACGTAGATATCGATTGGCATCGGGAAAAATTGTCAAAATGCGTAAGAAACAAGGATTTATGTTAAAAACGTATACTAAAATTTAATATGCAATTGCAACAGTAATGCAACTGAAAAAATTTACGTTTTTCTACAAGTCGTGTTTGACGTACCTAAATTGTTGGGAACTCGTCATTTATTTGTCAAAATTTGGAAAAACGCAATAGAATTTGATTTATTTTGATGCGAACTTTACTTATGCAATTTTTGGATCGCATTATAATATTGCGTTAATCATGTGAATAATAAAAAAAATTGTTAACGATATCGTTAACGATCAACGTTTTTCGATTGTGCCCATTGTCCATCATATAGCAATACAACTTCCTCGTTAATTGCGGATTATTTATTTAGTTCACGCAAACACGTACACACATCTTTCGACATGTAGCGGAAGAAAAAAAGTACAAAATTTACACATAGCGGACGCACGAAGTGACTTGTAATATTCCTTCGACAAATGTATCTCGTAAAACGTTCCAGATGCCTCACCTTATACAACAAGTAATCAATATTTTAAAAAATGCAGAACTTTAATAGTTACACTATTCCATCCCCTTTTATTACTCACGTTGCCAAAAGAAACTCCGAGCAAATTGACATCGTAAATTAAAAAAAGACGAAAGGACAATCGCGTCGAGATAAGACGTTCTACGTCGTATTCTTCTTTCGTTTTCTTTCGAGAGAATTGAAACGCTTGAAGTTATGATTTATTTTACCTTGTTCCTGATTATTTCTAATTATATTGCAATACTTTGTCAATTTTCCAGACTTTTAATTTTCACGAAACTTTTTGATTTTTCGGATTTGAAAGCCCGAATTTTCAGAAATTCGAGAAATTCTTGGAAATGTAAAATATTCTTGACAATTGAGAAAATTCTTGGAAACTGACAAAATTCTTTATGTTGATAAAATTCTTAAATTTTCGGCAACTGATCAATCGCATTGGTCAATTGTCGAATTGCTTAAATATGATTGCATGGTCAATTCTTTTTCTCCATCCGAGATCTCGAAGCGAGTTCTAATATCGTTCGAACACAAAGCTTTGAAACGCTTCGTTTCTTTTCTGCCCTTCTGCTTACCTTCTTATAAGCACAAGGCTATGTACGCACATTTGTATATAAGGGAACGCTTAGCAATTTGACTACCTGTTCTTTGTCTGTACGTGCCGCTTGTGGATTGACTCGCAGTTATAACGGTCCTAAAACAATTTCGACTTTTGTAGCTTCAGTCGCCGAGAAATTTAGGAAACATGTGTCGGCTCTTCGTGACGATGATGGTGATCACGGTAATCAACTTCGCGTCAATCAACGCAGAGTTGCATAGGTGGGTACATGTTATATACAAACGATCCATATTTATATCGACACGATAAATGATAATACCGTACAGAGATCGCGTTTCCAACATCTTGGAATCGCCGCAGAATTCGCGATAAATAATTATCAAATCAATTTCAAATACCATAATTTTATCAAATATGTAAGAAAAACGCATTTTGAAAGTCGGAATAAAGTGAGAAAACTAATTACAAGAGATGCTTTGAGGATTCCTTCGAAAATCTTATTTTAAATGAGTTTAGCATCATGAAAAGAGGAATTTGCGTTTAAAATACCTAACTACATTCTAATGCGTAAATATATACAGGTAGCATTTATTTCTCAATGTCAAAATGTTGAGACTTTAATAGCTTTTAAATAAGAATTGCTTGAAAATGATCAAATAAATTGTTTGAAATTCGTATTTATGTTGTACGATATATGTACATATATTCGCGTTTGTATGATACATATACGCATATAATATAACGGAAATTTTTTTATGTTGCTTCAAGAATTCCGTTACACAAGGCATCCTCTGTTGAAAAATTTTCGACGGAAACTATGATACGACTCCGTTCGGGTACGGCAAACGTATCTCTGATTAATTACCTAAATATTCAATACTACGGTACTATTGAAATTGGAACTCCACCGCAGACATTTAAAATAGTTTTCGACACTGGTTCCTCAGATCTCTGGGTAGGGTAGACCGGGGACAAAAGTAACATTTTGAGTTTAAGATTTTATAACAGTTAAAATATAATATTTACGTAAAAAAGACCTGTACCTTTAGATGTAGAATTTATTTGACTACAAAATTTTCTTGTGCTGAATTCAGTAATGTAACTAGGAAAAAAGTTATTATTGTTTAAAGAATATGAGGAATACTGTTACAACCGTCCCAACCCCCGGGACAATTGTAACAGCAGAGGGGAACGATTGTACCACATCATCTATAAACAAAATAATGGTTATTTAGTAGGTTTATGTAATCAATCTTACGAATTTTCTATAAAAAATGCAACTTTAATGATAAAATAATTTGTTACATGACAATATCAGTATTTTTACATTATAGCAAACAAAAACAAATAATACTGTTTTCTCAACTGAAAGATTATTTATAATCATATATATTTAAAGGGTTAGGTTAAGTTGAAGTTGTCCCCGAGCAACAGGGACAATTGTAACGCTACAACTATTTCCAGGCATTGATGTTACAATTGTCCCCTAATGATATTTTATGATTCGAAGTAAATTTTTTACATAAATATTTGGATGAAAGTCAATCGTATTATGCAAATCATCAACATAAATAATCACTAAAACATATAAAAATAAAACCTTATACCTTCGGCATAAAGAAAGAAAAATATTTCAGATTTTATGCACGTAAGAAAACTTACTTCAGGAAGGAAAAAAGTAATTTCTTCTCCTGCACACGTGCACGTTCCGCGAGGGGCGGCAATGAACTAAGGAACAAATGCCGCTCTATCTAGCGGATTTCGCCTCGCGGTCATACACACGTACCTTTTATAGTTTAAGAAATATTCACGATGTTACAACTGTACCCTGTTACTTTTGTCCCCGGTCTACCCTACCATCCAAAAACTGCAACATCAGCCAACCTGCTTGCTGTAAGTATATCGTAACATCGCTATTTCCCCGATATTCTATTATTCCTATATATACATTTGTATTAAAAAAATTAATGTTTCAAGTATTAAACTAATCTTAATTATTTTTTTCTCATTTAATGATTGATATCAAGTAAAAATATAAGATAACAATAATGCTGTAAAATTGTATCTGATCCATTTATATTTCAAGTAAAGTTATAAAATCTTTAAAGCAACAGTTTCAAAGATTCGAATCAGTGGTAAGGTAAATATTATGTAGCTAAGTTCCATACTTACATACTCTTTTATTTACATTATTTAGCACTTACTTTAAAGTTTGCAAATAAATGTTATACAAAACAGCTCACATGTTAAAGCAAAAAATATAAACATAAATATATTTGATGATTTAACTGAATATATATGATAATATATATGATTAACTACTGTTATAGTTACATATATTTAGATTAATATAAAGAAATTTATATTTCTAGATTCTTTAATATTAACTGATTTAATTTTATTTACTACTTTTTGCAGTAAAACATAATAAATATGATAATACAAACTCCACCACATACGTGGAAGACGGACTTACATTTGATATTCCTTACCACGATGGCAGAGTGTACGGAAACTTATCTAATGATGACGTAATCGTAAGTCATTGTCAAGTAAATGATATTTAATTCTAATCACAGTCATAATCTATGAAAATTTTCTAAAAAGCACATGTTGCTATCGTTCTTCGAAAAAAAAGAATACGCGCAATTACACTTTATTAATAATATCAACGTTTCGCAGATTGCTGGCCTTAAGGTTTCATTCCAGACATTCGAAGAAGCGCTCGATTTCTCGACAAGTTTTTGGGACCATGCACAATGCGACGGCGTTCTGGGAATGGGTTATCCAGCCTTATCTACCTTCGAAGAACCTACTGTCTTCCAAAACATGATTGATAAGCACGTGGTGTCCCGACCAATTTTTAGCTTCTATCTAAATCGGTATGTATCTTTCCGTATGCCTCACGTGTGTTTAATACTATTTTTTTAATTACATACTTTGTCTTTCCATGCAATGTAAAATGCAAATGTAAAAAATATACAACCCATACAGAAATCACACGGACGTGATCGGCGGTGAACTGATATTGGGTGGCACCGATTCTTCCCATTACGAGGGCGAGTTTACGTATGTTAATGTTACTGAAAAAAAATACTGGCAAATTACCATGGATAAGTATGTAGTTTTTTTTCTAAATTATACGTATGTTAACCACCGATTATATGTCAGCTAATTGGTAATGCTATCCCACTGTAGGTTTCAAATAAAAAATTACACCTCTTGCTCGGAAGGCTGTCAAGCTATCGTCGACACGGGCGCTTCTATGATATATAGGTGGACCACCGCAGACTATCGCAGCTCTTAACATAGAGATCGGTGTTGATCATGGGATGGTAATTGATTATCTTTTTCTTCAATATATGGTAGATTTCAACTACCTTAAATAAATTTATTGAAACAAATTAATAACTTTTTGATAAGTTACGGATTATTAATATGAATTACTAACATTGACCTTTGTTTAAAGGTGGAGTGCGACGAGATTTCTAAATTGCCCGATATCAATTTCGTCATGGTAAGACGTTTCGACTCACTGGTCAAGATTATATCTTGAAGGTAAAGAATATCATTATATAAAGGTTTAAATTGTTTTTAGAATAGAAATATCATGCTATATTTAATGTCTTATAGATCACAGGAGGCGAAATAGATGTTTGCATTCCCGCCTTCCGAGATGTTATTCCGGTTAATGGTATAGAGTGGGTTTTGGGCGATGCATTTGTTGGTCGGTACTACACCGTATTTGACATGGGG